CCTTGAAAAACGTGTGCGGAGAACTCGTGAACAACATGGGTAAATTGAATGAAATCGACGAGCACATCACTCGCGAGAAAAGAAAACTCAGCAAGGTGAACGACAATGAAGCAATGAAAAATATCATCGAAAAAAGATTGCGCGACCTGGAAGACGAGAGACGAGCCAGATTGGAAGCCGCTTCCTTCAACCAGGAAGTCCTTAGATCACAAAGAAGTCGCCTGTGCGAAACCATCGACCGAGTCTTGAAGGAGGACACCACGTTGTCCGATAGGATCCGAATTCTGTTCCGGGAACAAGGAATCACCATCGCCAGCGTTCTCATGGCTTTGGGCTTCATCATATCGACCCTGGTCGTGTCGCTGATGGGCGGTGGTGGTGTGCCACCACCAATCCCATCATCATCAGGCAACGATGCCAGAGACTGGATAAAAAAACATTTGAAATCTCCCGGCAAAGCCCTGGCTAAACTGGCCGACAAAGCTGCAGAAGCGCTGCCTGGCATCTTGGGCAGCATCGTTTCCAGGTTGTTAGAATTCTTGTCGAAAACCATCACGTGGCTCGGTCAAATCCTGTGGGCTTTCGTCTTCATCGTGGCGGGTGTGGTGTACGTCGCTGCTAAGGAAATTTTAACCAAATGAGGCACAGTCCAAATGCGATCCGATGACCACCATCGCCGTTTTGCGATCAAAGTGCTGCTGATTGTTTGCCTGCACATGCTGGGGCAGCTGCTGCTGGCGTGGTTTTGCTACTTCTACTTCCGGTGTCGGTGCCATGATGCCCATTTCGTACTGTGGCATGACTCGACTCGCGTTTATTGACGTCATTTTGATCAGCGGTCACGCTGACGATTTCGTTGTTGTAGCCCACCACTCTGTTCACCCTCAGTCGCATGTCGCTCGGAGCCATGTACAGTCTCGCGCCGAACACGTAGTCGACTTTTGACCGGGCGTATTCCAGCACGTTTTCATAGCGCGTTCGATGGCACTCGGTAGATCGACCGGTCTAGCAATGGCATCCTTGACGTTAGCCACGAACTGTTTCTTCACGTCATAAGCCATCCCTTCACGACCCACGATGCCCCAGCACGTCCCACACGTACGTTCGAATCGAATCGTTCAATCTGATGACACCGACATGAGTAAACCCTTTCAAAGTGCCCAGTATGAACATTTTCCAATCGTCCGCGGGTTCCTGTTCAAACTTCAAAACGAGATAATCCTTGCTGTCATTGAAAGCCATGTAATTGTCGTTCCACTCGTTCGTCTTGATGTAATGATACGACTTGTAACACCAATCTTTCACTAGCTGTTTGCTGGCTTCCACGAGAGACATGTTGTGAATAATGGGAATGCCCAAACTGTGGTTTGGACCTGGCAAGCGCCAGTTGACGATCTTCGGATATAGTTCGAATTCACTGCAAACGCGTTCGTACGCACGTCGATCGTATGGATTGTTTACGGCATTCCATGCCTTGTCCTGCGGAATCGGGGTGCTGATTTCTTTCAGGATACGTCTGATCTGGTAGTACACGTGAAACGAGAATACAGACCCACTTAGCTCATCAGGACGAGTGTCACACCACACCCGGTGGTCGCGCACCACACGGCGAAATTGAATTGATTCTGCCAGAACTACATCGGGTTGTGGAACCAAGCATGTACTGTTTTCACATTTGTGACCGAAAACCCGTCATTTTTAAACACGTCGATGAAGCGAACTATGAAATGTAAACCATCCTTTGCTTCGACCACAATACTCGGTTGCGTGAGATAGGTAGCACTTATATTATCACTTTTAGAATAAAACACTCCCGGTTTGTACATATTTGAATTGTATATATTTTAGTATACATATCTACTTATCAATATGTACGTGATGCTTCCGGGAATCACGAGCAGTGAGTCCGTTCAACTGCTGCATGCGATCGATAACATCACCGTCTGGTCAGCACAAAGTCAGCGATGGACTAACATCAATGGCAAAAACAACAGGCTGTTCGTCAATATTGCCCGCAACCAAATAACGGTAGGCTACTACAACATGTGCTCGCTCAAAGTAGAAATCTTCAAACCCGTGGGAGCCAAACTCAAAATGAACGACTCGAACAGTACAGTCATGTTAGCCTGGAAACCACCGTGACAGGCACAAAATTACCCGATCTCGTTCCATATCGCAAACTGTGCATTCATCTCGATTAGCTGAGCACGACCAACAACATTCAAGGCGAACGACCTTCCACACTGTTAAGAGCCGTGCCGGTGAAAACGGAAAAGTACAACAACGGCAGAACTGAATCGTTTTCACTGCGGCATTACAAGAAATTAATCCGAGGCAACATCACGGAATTGAAAATATCGATTTTAGACGTTAAACATGATCCCATAAGTATAGGATATATCAGCGTGACACTGCACATACGGCAATGACGGAGTCTCATGGTCCAGGAACACGCGTTAGAAAATGCGCCAACATAGCGATTTCCGACCTCGGGGACACGCCCGGATTCGACGAACCCGGAGTCGACGGCAAACTGTACGCCTTGCAACTGAAAAAACAGCATTTACAAACGCGTCGAACTGCTGCCCTCTACTGCCAGTGGTGGCAATGACCTAGGCGATTTCGGCGATACCGAAGGAGTGGTCAACAACGCACGATACGACCTGATCCGCAACGACGAGGATGAATGGACGATAACCCCAGCGTTCCGCGGCAGGCTGTTCCACCTGGACAACGTTGAGACAACGGCCGTCTCCAGAAACACGCAGTACACTCTCATCTTCAACGAGGACAACAAATGTGTACTAGTGCCATCCCAAATCAACTGGAATCTCAACATTACGCTCGACTCTCCCCACGTTTTCACGGACAACAAAGATCACTACCTGACGAAAGTAGTGAACAACGTAGTGCTTCTCGTGGCTTACGTCCCTACGCAAAAACGCAGCGTGATCGTCAGCAGGTTGAGGCAAAGAGTAGCCCACATGCTGTCGAGCAAACCCGGGACGCAAAACGTTGGATTGCAGATGGTGTTGAAATTCGACAGGGTGGTAGACGTCCTGGAAAATCTGCCAGCAAAATCCACACTGTACTTCCAAGTCTACCTCCGACAACCGCCGTTGGCGCATGACGTCGTCGAAATCGTGAAAGAGAGTAACCGTGATCGTGGAAGACACGATATCGCTCACCAAAATTTTCCTACTCAACAACATACATCTCTTCGGTTTAAAGTGCAAGTCTGGGGAATTTTCCAATAACCAATTGAAAACCATTTTGTAATTTTGTATAGAAACAACCGATGAACAACCATCATCCCAACATAATGCTAGCCGATCTCGGGGACACGCGGTAATTAGATCTGCCCGGCGAGGAAAAGACCTGGTTCGTCCTGCACTTAAAAGATAATGTATACAAGCGGGTGTCACTAGCAGACTTCAAACAGCCAGACTGGTTGATCAGCATGACCCTCACCTCACCCCACATATCTTTTAAAAACAATGTTTACTTCTCCAAAATTACGAACAATGGGATCCTTTTCACGTCTTTCACTCTAGAGTTTGATGTACAAGTTTTACGAATACCAGGTCACACGGGCAACATGTTAGCTTCAAACGACTTAGCTTCATATTTACGGTTTGACATACCCGATTACCAACGGGATTTTTTCGATTCAAATTTGACTATCAAATCACACACCACGCTCGTAGTAGATGTCTATCTCGCTGACGCTCGTGGGAGGTCAGAACGAACACTTTTGACTGGGTTGATAATACACCATCGTGGCCGCACCTGTGGTGCTAGGCATCAAAATAACAGCCGGAGTGGTAGGGTTGATGGGATTAACCCTTAAGTTCATATCTCGCAGACTGCAACGTAAAGCATTGAAACACGACGAAATTAGAATTCTAGCCGAAGTGAAGTTAAAGACGATAGACCATCACATTTCGTTCACCGACTCTAAAATCTCCAAGGAAGAGTTTCGTTTGGTGCTATCAGAAATCGCAAGATATAACAGAATGAAACAAGAGAATCGGACCAAGTCTCGTAAAAACGCCGTCATCAGCGAAGACGAGAATTTTTTTTTCATAGAACAAGGGAAGCAACAGGCCCGACAAGCCTTCCTTACGAAAACCAAACAAATTATTATCAGAGAAGATTCATGATAAATTGCATCGCGGACATCAACATCACAGCCGAGTAGAAAGATAGAAAGGTTTAAAAAAAAGTAGCAAAACATCCCTGGTAGCCACAGTTCCCCTAGGGTGAAGTAGAAAGATGAAGGTTGCGCAACTTCTCCCCAGGGGACTTATGTGTCGCCTATCCTTTCTCTCACCACGAGAGTGCCCCGATTAAGCTGAGCGCACCTGATGTGATCCTGATTCCTTGTTACCACCAACGAAAGACACTAAAGTTGCAAGGGACCCACTGAACGGGATACGAACAGACAATGCAAAGCTGCGCAACTACGCACCTACACCGATTGCGCTACCAGGGACTTGATCGTTACATTTAGGTTTAACAGGTCTATCCTGAGATTGCATCATCCTCCTAAGCTTGGCTCCGTCTATAGGAACGCAAAGGATATCTTGAACCCGTTTTATAAGCTGAGCGCACCAGACTTCTAGAAACAGTTTATCACAAATTCTACTTCCGCTTCACAGTTTGGTGGCTTTTTACCTCCAATAAAATACAAACATGATACTCCCAGGGAGTTGTAAACACGCTGAACACGACAAACAGGTCAATGGACGCTGAATTCTTTTTTAGAAACCACAATCTATTATTGAATTGCATGTCTAAGCTGAGCTCCGTCTATAATAACACAAATCAGTCACTTCACTTCCGCCTTCTCGCTTCCTGGTCCCGTAGCCCCATTGTGTATACTACTGTAACACTGGGTCAATAAAAGAGAAGCCCATCCCCACACTTTCCTTTCTCCCTCAACGATCATCCTCACTTCTTTTTCTTCAAAGCATTTATAGATTCATGTATGTTCTCAGGTCCCATTGAAGATTCCTGAAAGTATTAAGGAGATGAAGAGCCATTGTTTCCCGGAATGGGTAAGTATCTCACATTTTAGCTAGAGCAACAAAGGAGATCATATTTCTCGTATATTGCTGTGATACTCGATTCTGAAGTTATTGAAAGGCATTGAGAATCATTCATCAGGTGAAGGAGCAAGAACAAGCTCTGAAACGTCGTAATAAAGAATAAAAGATCTTCTTATCCATGAAACGTGTCATGTATTCATCCCCGATTCTGATACATATGTAACGTAAAAGCAGTTGCCCGTTTAGACCAACCGTTCTGAAACATGTCGCGAGTGATACATGTGGTGGATGCTAGCAACAGCTGGACTCGCATGTTTCTGTCATCGTCATTGTGATGAATGACCTGCAATAAACCTCACTTTAAACCTTGACTCTAACATCTTCTGTACTGGATACATAACCCGAGTCTGTTTGCTCTATGGGTAGTTGATTCAACATATTGGATTGATTTTGCTCTCATATTCACTTCAAAGTCGATATTTGATTTCTCTGTAATTGTCAATAATGAGCTCCCAGATACCATTTGGACGTTGGCCCAACGTTGGCAATGTTGGCAAAACCATTGCCAACGTTGGGCCAACGTCTGGATGTTATCCGGGCTGTAGTTGTTTCAGTTTTTATCGTAAAACTGCATTTTCGGAATGGCCAGTGACTTTCTTGCGTGTATTTCACACTCGGCTGTGACAAATACATGACTACATACAGCTTAAAATACAATTTCAAATGGTCATTGTCATCGATACAAGTTGTGTAGCTGAAATTAAATGATATATACTGAGTGTGAAAACTGTTGTCGTAAGAAGGCGCTTGTTGAAATGTAAACAAAGAAACAAATCAGATTTCGGACACTGTGTAGTAATTTCTCCAATGTTAAGACGTCCATTCGTCTATTCATTGCATTTACTGGTTCAATAAAATAGAATATGCAGAATACGTTTAGAATATGCATAGTAAGCACGATTTAGGAAATTGAAAATAGATACATTTCTATGATTTGGTGAATTGAAACGGAATTGAAACGTTTCCGTCCTGAGTGACGCGATGAATGACCCAAAACGACAACTGTATTTATCGGCATTCCTGACAACTTATATTCAAATAACGGTACGCAGACAGTTAGGATGTTTTTGATTATTTTCACCACATATTTATGTACAAGCGGTCCCAAAAGGACCCTCGCAAAATCCTGCGTATCGATGTCAGCGAACGCCTCATTTCCTAAAATATCGGTCATCGGTAGCGATGCCATACGTCAACATTGTTGTACAGTCCTAGATGTGAAGGTCGGATGAATTAGAGTCAACACAATCACCCTGTCTTGCTGCTATAGTTTCAGTATTATATTGTATATTTTGGGTAAATTGTAGATATTTCTTCGAGAAACTAATTTCATTACTTAGCCTTGTTCAATATCATATTTATACATGGATATAACCTCTGCGGGTTTTTTATTCTTTGAACATCCTTGTTTGTTTGAACGATATTTCAATTCAATTCAATTCAGTTTATTGTATTCGTGGCCTTAGGCCCATATACAAATAAACATAAACATAATGTAATAAATAAATACGTTTGTAATGGAAATTTAACATATTTGGCATTTATGTTTTACATTTTGTGTTTCATCTTTTCAATATCTTATAGAAATGGCGTGTTTACAAAATTTACATAAGTTCCACACAGTTTCGTTATGAAAATCAGACATAAGTATGCAAAACATTACAAAATTACAATTCTCAATGGATTTCTGCGGAATATATTGTCTAATTTCATTATAGAATGTACATTCTAAAACAACATGGAATTCATCTTCTTTTACATTTAATTTGCAAAATTTACAAATCCTATCTTCTTTGGGTATATTATTTCTACGTCCGATATCTACCTGTAATTGGGCGCCTCCAGTTCTTAGTAAAGCTAAGTATCAACTGGAAATTGACACATTTAGCGTGTTAACCTTTACACAAGTGCTAGAAAAGTAGGCATAGCGGCAACATGTTCCTACATCTACGTATGATGTGCAATATTCAGTATTGTATATTTCATATATGTAGGTTCATGAACAGAGACCTTAAAGGTAAAACTGACTATATTAATTTAAGAAAATGAGTGGTGTTTAAAACATGTATATGCACACATTCTGTAAGGAATTATCTTGGTCACGTGAAACGTAGGCATAACGGAAACAATGATGCATAGGCATAACGTTTTACGAAACATTTACGTAAGTTCCTTTACACAAGTGTTAGAAGATGAAACGTAGGCATAAAGTTCCTATGATAAATAACCACATAAAAATGAACACAGAAAAGTCATATTTTGAAATATATGTTCGTGTATTTTTTAAATATTTTTGTTTGACGTCGACGAAAATCAGTATAGACTGTTGGATATGATGACGTCATGTTTGCTGCTTGTAACATCACAACTGATGATGATAACTATATTTTTGCCACCTATATATTTTGCAACTGAAAACAACCATAGAAAACATATTTTAAAAAGGTATGAACTAGATACATGCTTTAAAGTCAATATTAACTTTCAACTGTTTCAGCTTATAAACAAACATAATAGAACAAACATTCTAAGACAGGGTATATTGTATTTTTAAACAGATCAGTCATTTTAATCGATCAATAAAAGCAACGACAGCATGTTCATAGCATCATGTACAAAACCTAAAAAATGTGCAAAATAGTATACAGTTTTGACTATCCTACAAAAGAGTTCCCATTTCCCTCAAGGAGTCAAGAGAGCTGTGAAAATTGGAATGGTTTACTGAAATCCAATTATTATTCCTCCTACATTATGAATTGTGTTTGAACCTGTAGCAGAACCCATTGAGAATAAAGCTGAAGTTGATCAGTTAACAATAATTATATTCACTGAGCAGCATGTCGACATCTCGCCTTCAAGAAATAATATGGTAATAAATATTCCCCACAGTTTTGTTTGTGTGTGCATCTTACTTTTTATTTACCTGGCACCTTTAGTTGGTTTCACGAACATTTTGGGCTCAATCATCCTGGAAATGGCTACTTCCTTTCAACTAAGGTGATATATAGCTATTTTCTGGAATGACATTGTTCAAATATAAATCCCTTTCATATTGATGTTTTACTAGCTCAAACATTCACTCACATATTCCTGTTTGTTGTTGATGATCTTAGCTGACAACACGCACAGTTGACTTCCATGAAAATACATACTAGAAATACAAAGGACTATTTCTGGGCCGTATTATACTACTGTATGACGAAGGGACACTCCACTGTTGTATGCTTGAGTTTAATCAACCAGAGTAACAACACAAGTATTCCTTAAGATCAATGAAGCTGGTTCTGAAAAACTGTTCACTATAGAGGCTGACATAAATATGTCTTTATGGGCATTTAAATATCGGATTCAATTATGTCAAGAAAATCTATCCCCGAGTGCTTTGTCACCAGCAACCATGACAGCTTCACCAGTCTACCGCACCACACAAAGGTCATTTCAGTAGGTTCAAGTCCTACATCTCAGACAGGAAACAATCAGTGGTTATCCAAGGTCAAATGTCGCTGTCTAGTGACTTGTGTTTGGGGTACCACAAGGCTCAGTTCTGGGCCCTTTACTTTTTACTGCCTACACAACACCCCCCTTGGTGTTATTGTCAGGTCCTTCAACCTCAGTATGCATCTTTATGCGGATGACACACAGGTTTACGTGTCCTTCAAGCCACTCGATTCTGTCTCAACTTCTTTCACATTCACAGCAGTCCAGGAATGTGTTGACTGTATCAAATTTTGGATGTCAACGCACTGGTTGAAATTAAATGACGACAAAACCGAGCTCATCGTTTTCAGACCCCAGCGGCTCCGGGCAAAATTTTATCTTCCCACTTTCTCTATTTGGCACTGTGAAATCACACCAAGTTCTCAAGGCCGGAATCTTGGTGTAGTATTTGACTCATCTCTCTGCATGGAACCACATGTCAACAGTGTTTCTCGCAGCGCTTATTTCCACATTCGGAATATCGGCCTGATCCGCAGGCACCTTGACGAGAAAACAACTAGTGCTCTGGTGCAGGCGTATGTAACATCACGCATTGATTACTGCAACTCGTTGCTCAGAGGTCTTCAAAATCATGTGCTACACAAACTACAGAGAGTCAAGAATTCAGCGGCAAGATTGATCAGCAGAACAAAGAAAATTGACCACATGACCCTTGTCATGAAAAAATCTCCATTGGCTCCCAATAAAATTCAGAATCCAATACAAAGTATTGCTTCTTGTTTTTAAATGCATCCATGGACTGGCTCCAGGGTATCTTTCACAACTTGTAAAACCCTATGTGCCAACCGGATCTCTTCGCTCCAGTGACCAATCTCTTCTGCAAATTCAATGTTCAAGAACAAAGTCTTTTGGTGACCGATCATTCTCTTCAAATGGTGCAAAACTCTGGAAGAAATTACCACAAGAACTTCGATCACTGACTGAACTTGCATCTTTCAAAAGCCAGTTAAAGACTCATCTTTTTACCAAAGCTTACCTTTAGCTCCAGCGTGGACTCAGAGCGCCTTTGGGCGATTACATCGGATTCTGGCGCTATAGAAGTGTTTGTTTGTATGTATGTATGTATGTATGTGTGTGTGTGTGTGTGTGTGTGTGTGTGTGTGTGTATGTGTGTGTGTGTTTTAATACCTATCCATTAAACACCCTTCAAAATTGTTGTTCACCAAATGAGTCTATATTCAGTCACGAACACCCCTAGTTAGAGTAAATCTTTATCACTCTCAAAGACAGCCCAAAGAAACTATTCGAGCCGACCATACATACAAATTAATCCATTTTTGATTCAATAAAGTGTGAATTGATCAACACGATGGTTATTACTAGAGATTGGTACAAGGTATTGTTATGAAGACGGGATTCAAAATGTATTTATACAATAGGCAAGATGTGTTGATCGATTTAATTCAACCTGAATATTTTCTATTTTCTCCCAGACTGTTATTCACACGGAG